AGAAGAGAGATATACCAGGGTTTGTTAAACGGAAGAATGAATAAATTACACTACAAAAATACCTGTGGAATGTCATCATTCTCAGAAAAAAAGCTTCCCTTTCCCTGGCCAAGGAAGCAAATCTATCTGAGCTGGTTCTAGTGTCAATGATGATGATGGAGAGTCTAGGAGTCATGCTACCTGCCTGGAATGATGTTGCCATTCCCTGAATCAGAATTTTTGGACCAAAACGAGTTTTACATGACATTTGATGGCAAAACCCTTTAAATCATCACATAAAAATAATAATTATCAGGCTTCAGGAAAAACAGTCTAGCATGTCCTGCTGAACCTCTCCGGCGACCAATCACTGAGTTTCGGAGAAGAGAGCATCAGACTCTTCAGTCACAACTGGGAATTCGATACTTTAGGCACAATCTGGGCTTTCCCTGCTGCATGTTGGATATCCTTCCTTGTGCAAATGTCTCTTATCAATCTTTTCAAAGAGTTTCAGAAATTCTTGGCAAGACGTTCATTCACACTTAGGCCCTTCTGATCACAGCGATCAGCAATTGCAACAAAGTTCTTGAATGAATCTTCAACGTGAGATGTCGGAACCTCTCCTCAACAAAATGCGACAAATTATCTGAAACTCTCATCAAAAATATTCTGCTGGATACAGTCAACCCCAAGAAACTTAACTGGTTGGTGCTTTGTGACATGTTCATGTGAATCTTTCAGGCTGTAGGAATCTCACTGAACAGCTTAGTGGCAACAGATCTGCATCAGCAAATTCAATCCCTGGCTGTTCAACGTTTTCAGCAGGTTCAACCCTTTGCTACCAAGCTCCTTTAAAGGAAGCATCCTTTCATGTTTTTTTTTGCTTACTGGAGTGGGAGTTTCTTCCAAGACAGCCATCCGAATCCCGACTCCCAGGAGAATCCATGCTCTTTGAAGTGCATCAGTGTAGGGAGTGAATTCCCGGATGTGCAATCTGATCTCTGTTTCCAATCCAAGCCAATGATCGCTGCTGCCTTAGACTATACGATTTTCTAGTTGATGCTGTTTTTGAAATGCCGTTAGCAGCACTAGAAAACTTTTTCCTTCCTTCCAGGGCCAAGAGGATACGTTTATCAATCAGAATGCAGAAGCACTAGATTGACGAAGGTGAAAACACATTTTCATCCTCCAGCCAAGCCCACTTTCCTTGTGAAATCTGCAATAACCCTAGTGCACACTTGTAAGAAATGCAACAAGCCATTCGGCGTAATGAAGCTGCTTTCAACATTCCCCGGAAGGACAGTTCTTGGGCGTCTGTATCCGAACTTGCCTTGCACCATATACCTTCAACTGAAGCCAAAAAATCACTAGGTGATGTCATAGGCACAACTCGCGAGCCCCCCCCCAAGACCAATAAGTCCTCAATGGTTTCCTGCCACTCGGAGATGACTTTCTGCAACTTTTTTTCAACGGATTCCAACCAGAATCTGCTGGCACAGACTTGCCAGATCAGAATTCACCTTCTTCCCTTTGCCTTTTGTCAAATTTTGCCCGTATCCACGACCAAGATTTCCTGTATAAAACAAGGCGGATTAGGCAAAGGCATCGCAACCACCCTGAAGCACAATTCATCATCGATGTGTTACAATGGAATGAGCAATTAATTACCGTCCAAGCTTATTTAACCCTCAGGCTTACCAAAATGGGAAAGGGCCGTACACGCTTCTTTGGAAACTTCAAATCTCAATGGAGAAACTTTTGATATCAGACAAGCGAAACCTCTTCCTAGGTGCACTTGTAACTCGAAGCTATAGCTTGAAAGCCGCGGACGATTCCAGACTCTTTGGGTTCTCAACCAAGTCATCAGGTTAGAAAGGAAAACATTTTGAACAAAATGTTGAAAACTGAAAAAAATATGCAAATTAAAAAGAGAGTGAATTGTGTTAAGTTCCTCATGAAATTCCTACCTCTGATACTCTCTGGAGTAAAAACATCTGAACTTCTTAAGACTCCAGAAGCGACCTCCATGATGACATGTGTCTAGCCTGTCAAAGCAATTCAAGTATCTTATGAGAAAAGAAACAAAAATTAAATTCAAACAAATATTGAAAAATGTAACAAGTGGATCCAATTGATTAAGCTCTATGCAGGTACTAACAACGAAGATGCGTTTGTCCGGAAAGGCAAGATATATGTAGTTTCATGCAATATGGCATCCATTCCTTTTCAACCCTAATTTTGTTTTAGGCTGGGAAGAGTAATGTTCTTCAGTGTGATTAATGCACCCAACATGAAGCATTCCTCTGTTAGAGAATTAAGTAATTAATATAACTCAACAAAAAGGTCCTATTGAATAATCATTTAAGGTAATGACAACATCACACTATAAGGCATAAGATGTGCTACATTAATAGTGATAGCTTCTATATTTTTAATAACACGTAATCAAAACTAAGCTAATCAAGTATTGACCTACAAGACCTAAGAGGAGATTAGAAAGCATTATCAAATCACCAAGTCCTAGCTCTAAGAAAAAGAACAAAGATAGAAGACCATGAAGGCTACAAGAATGAGAAATAATATCATTAATAATAAGGCCTAGATATGATCTTTTAACAAGACTAACAATAGTAATAAATTTACATTTTGTGTACTTTCAAATTGTTGCTTAGATCATGAATACGATAAAGATAGCAAATCGACACTCAAAACAACTTGAGTTATTCAGTACAAGGATCACTAAATCTAATCAAAATACTCAATTTGTGCAATGTAACTTAAGTGGTTGTGTGTTTATCAATCCACTGTCATTATGTACACATGGGTAAAAAATTTAAAAAGAAACGACTCACATGTGGTTTTCCATTCCCATACACTCAAAATTAAAACTTAACAAAATATGGAGTAAGACATAAAGACAAAAAAAAGGGAAGCACTAAAAGGCACTCAACCTGAAAGTTTCAAACTTCCTTTCCACCTACAAACTTGCTGCATCATGTTGAGTGATTACTTATGTAGCTTGAAATGAACTCTTTGGAAAAGAAATAAGACAGCACATTTGCAAAGGAAGTTGCTAATGCATGTTAATAAACTGTACTAGAAATCATTCTTCGAAAAATAGCTGTTGAGAGATTAATATTGTTAGTTGTATTTCTTGTATCTCATCGAATCGATTACATAGGTTTTATATATATAAGGACATTCCTATGGTTTTCTACCTAAGCTATTTAAGGAATACAAATCATAAACCTAATTAGGAAATCTAACTCCTAAATAAGAACTCTATTTACAACAATCCTTAACACTCCCCTGCAAGTTGCGACGCATCAGATATTAATCATGCCTCAACTTGTTACAAACTTAACTACTTTCAGCAAAGCACAACCTACCATCAATCAGCAACTGTACCCACTTCAATTATAGCAATAGAAATCCCACCAAAGTAGTAGTAGTAAGAATCAAACAAACACTTAGGTTGTCTAAACAACATCTCATTGAACCAAAAAAACAATCGAACTCACAGGAACTATTTCAAGCTTCCATATCAATGCCTCAAAGAGGAAGCCAGTCAAAGCGCAAATATTCAAGAACGCAACAAAGGAAATCGGCAAATCGGAAGCAACACCATTGAAGGCCCAAGAACCACAATGCAACTCACTGGGGTTCAGCTGCTCTCCGACAAAGGGAGAGGTTCAGAAAAGCAGAACATAAGCCCATAAACCTGCAGCAAAGGTGCAGTAAACCCTAATCACGCAAATAAGGAATCACTGAAAATCACCAAAAATTACCTAAACCAATTGTCACAGCAGCGAAAAATATGTTTTCCGCAGCCAAATTAAAGCAACCAAACAGTAGCAAGGGACTGCCCGACACAGCTGTAACAGAATCACAGCAAACAACTTCTGAATACAGCCCAAGAAATCGACGATGCAATCACTGGGTTGGCACCGTCTTCTTCAACGCAACGTCGGCAACTGAGCAGCAGCCTTTGGTCCTTTTTGCTTGCATCCTGTTTGCGACCAACACGAGGGGTGGTGTGCCTGGCTCGAATTTCTTATCTTTTGCTTGTTGCCATCCACTTGGATTTTCAAGTGTCCGGGAAGGCCTTGGATCTGCCAGACTGGCTCCTGACATGGCTTTTGCTTTGTGCGAGACAGAGATTTGGAGTTTGGCTTTTTTTTTTTTTTTTTTTTTTTTTTTTGATGGAGATGGCTCTGATACCACGTTGAGAGATTAAATATTTGTAGTGTATTTCTTGTAATCTCATCAATCGATTACAATAGGTCTATATATAAAGATAATTCCTATGCTCCTAGCTATTTAAGGAATACAAATCATAAACTAATTAGGAATCTAACTCCTAATAGAAGCTCTACTTTACAACTAAATCTTAACAAATAGCATTGTGGTGTCTTAAAATTTTGAAGACTCCCAATTCCTATGCTACCTAGCTATTTAGGAATACAAATCATAAACTAATTAGGAATCTAACTCCTAATAGAACTCTATTTACAACTAATCCTTAACAATAGCATTGTTGTCTTAAATTTTGAGACTCCCAGTTCCTTTTATGGTCACAAAATACTTACAGTATAATTTCCTGATTTAGTATTTATTTATTTATTAAAAAAAAAAAACATGCTAGCTAGATGCATAAAGGCAAGCACCACCTATCTACAATGATATACAAAAGCAAAGCACCTAAAAGAGAAAACAAGAAAAGACAAAGATGGGCCTTAACAAACTTGAGAAAATAGCTAGAACACTTAATAATAAGTGCAAATATGAATAGAGAGAATACATAATCCTCAATTTTATCTGCAACTATAGAAAACTCAAACCCTGAAAAGTTCTCCTATCTGACAACATATTTTCAAACAGTACTAGAACAACACTGCCTTCAAGCATCGTCCATGCTAGGCATTGTCCTCAACTTTCGAACAGCTTAAAGCAGTTTGAACCATTTGGAATTCAGCAAAAAATGCAAGATCAGTGACCACAGTCCCGCTACAACCTAACAGCACAAATATGATGATTGACCATCTTTCATCTTTTTACACATAAAAGACCAACTTACTGCACACATATAAATATAATGAACTAGTGTATATACATGTAGAAATTCAAAGATCATTACCCAACAAATCTAACTCCACAATAACCGTTCTCTCTAACACAGTTTCATAAGAATTTTCCAAGAAAAGATTTGTCAAAAAGCAAGATTATTTTTAACTCCAGTTCATCCTTGCTGATAGGGAGAGTGAACCTCCCATTTTACAAAAAGTAACTCTCTTCCCTCCCAACCCCATACTGACATCTGTTTAAAAATGCCTTCTAACTTTCAGATTACAAAACAAGAGAAGGAAGAAATTCAGCAAACAAAAAGTGGGCAAACTCTATATAACTTCTCAATTATATGTTTTCTAACAAACTGAGCAACCTTGGTAAAGAATTTGATTGTCTCTTCATGTCAGAAATTTTAAACATAAAACTGTAAGAACTGTTCTTATATATATTCTAAATAGGGGGGAAACATGATGGGTAGAATAAATTAAATACACAACTATGGTGCCAGCTAAGTTTTCTAATCCATATCACTCCATCCCTGTATCACATAATTTATCATTAGGTAACAAGTCAGATCACACAGAACCACTAAGCAAGAATGCTGCAAATCAAGCTCAAAGACTTTATGCATCTTATCAGTATCAATATGAAACCTGAACCTAGGAGCCAATAACAGACTTACAAATACATCTACTTAGAATGCCATCCTTCCTTCTAGATTTTATTTCCTACAAATAATGGATGACAACACAAAGATGAGGCTTTGAAGCTTCTATGTAATGTAAGTACAAAATTTAGAATCCCAGCCTAGACGCATGGTGAAATAGAACCAGGATGGATCAGGAGTTTGGGGCAATGTCGATATTCTAATACAGCAAAGAGCAAGCAACCCCTTACAACACTTCCTTTATTTGATTTTGAAAAAGGTAATGGATGGCAACTCTTCCAGACATTATGCGTTTTGAATCACCTAACTTCTAGGATTTAAAGGCATGAGTGCTAAAACTTTCTTAGAAAAAACAGCTATAATGATTGTTCAAATGAATTCCTATGTCCTTGGGATTCAGGGATACACAAACTATCAATATTAACTACTTTGGATGACGGTAATCTTCTCCATCAGAATCAAAGCGAGACACCAGTAGGGTACATACTTAAGAACCTATATAACGATATAAGTAAGATAGAGATTCATCTATAGTTGCCACCAATGTAACTTGTAATGGCAAAACAAGACCACTCTATCCTTTAAAGCTCGTAAAAGCTAAAGCCCAAATCACAAACTATCATCTTCAATCCCCATTTCAAGCAAAAGCGACCTATAAATAAACAAGCATCTCCTACAGTCACTAACAAAATCCACTACTAAACCCAAAAAGAAAAAATCCCAATCAATCAAAGGATAAAAGACCAAATATGAGATCAATGAGTAGTGCAGATAACTGCAAGTGCACTCACCCTCACATCAAATTACCATAACAAGTCACAGTATGCAAGTAGTGCTGAATATTACATCCACAAATAAACTAGCTAAAAAGGCATTACCTGCCTCTGTTGATGAATCCCCATTCTGCAACCGGGACCTTGCCTGCAAATTGGGACTTACCTCTCTAGACTGCCCACTTCCAGGTGATATAATACCCCGGTTATAACTGTTATCACCACCAGTACTACTCCCTTGAAATCCCATCATCCTACTCTGTCCAACTACCTCCTTCTTCTTCCCTGACCCAGAAGTTGAAGTGGGCCCCACATCTCCGCCACCAGGCCTCGATAAGTTACTGGACCCCAGCACTCCAGACCCTTTATCCCCTCTAAAACTGAAAAAGCTCTCTTGCGGTAATGGACCCGATCTCGTCTTTATCTTATTCAATCCTAAGGAAGACGCCAATATCGGAGACACCGAAGAGGCGGGAGTGTCCTTCGCGTCCGCCGCAGCAGCAGGCTTTTTGGAGGCAGAACTCGACAAACCTAGTCTACGTGGCGACTGAGCAGCAGTTTCCTTACCCTTTACCGATGATTCCTTCTTCTTGACTCCATCCTTGACTTGCGTTTGTCTACATGCAAAACCAGAAGTAGTATGAGCAGTTGGACTTTCCTCTTTAGATGAAGAAGAAGTAGATTTGGGTTTTTTCTTGTCGGATCGGATCGGAGAATTAGAGCCAACTGATCGAGGACTATTGGATGATCCATCAGGACTAGAGGGATCCGATTTCTTTGAAGAAAAGAAGAGTTTGTTCTTAAACACCATTGTTATTTCTTCTAGTTTTGCAGCCCTAGCATGGATGATGCAGGGCTGCTAAAATAGTAACATTGAAAGGATTTGATTTGATTTTGTCGAAATTAAGAGCAGTAGTTGCAGTAGCGGTTTTCGAGGGAGAGAGAGAGAGAGAGAGAGAGAAATGGGGTTGAAGTTGAAGCAAATATAAAATAGATGTAGACTGAAGTGGGGGAAGGAAGGAAGGAAAAGGAAAACAACATGGGAATCGAGCAGTCTTTAAACGACTGATCTGGTCTGCTGACTCCGGTCCGGCATTAGCCGTTGAATGGTAAAAACGAAGAAACCGAAACCAAGTTGACTGTAAAACTTGTAACTGTAATCCAACCAACTCGGTAAATTGCAGTCTTTTGTTTTTTTTTTTTTTTAAGTATTGGTAAAAGAATTTGAACCCAGTCTATTATGAAATTGTAAGTGTAATTACTACTGAACTATAAGTTAACTAGATCAATGTCCATCCAATACATGGGTGTTTTTTTACAATGGAATTCAAAACTAAAATAAAAACATACAAACTAAGTCATCGTACACAAAACTAAAATGAAAATCATAATTAAAAAAAAAAAAAGGCTGCATTGAAACTATACCCTCGTCACATTAATAAATGAGTATCTCAATTAATGACAATTCAAATTTTCGAATTATGTAATTGAATAAAACTATCTAGTAAGCAAGAGAACGTATAGTAGTAAATGATTTGTTAAAGAAAAAAGATCAATTCGTAATTAAAAATCCTTTTAAAAGAAAAATATATACATAGATGAGAATTCATTTTCATTTAAGCCTCTAATATCTAATAACAATAAATTAAATTTTTAAAAAATCTAAAGTGATAAGATATAGATAAAAAAAATAGAAAAAAAGACAAAACTTATCTATACATATCTATGATTGCATGTGTTAAATTAAATTTTAAAAAACAAATGCTTTTTTTAGGAAAGAAATAAATACTTAAAACAAAAAAAAAATCAACATTAATTAAATATCTGAAAAATGCATCTCATTAGAATGATTATTATCTTATTTAATCCTAAAGAAAAAAATATTTCAAAAATGATGATGTGACACTCTATTCTTTGAACATTCCTACTTTCCTTCTTCTTTCAATCATTTTTACAAATTGATGCCTCTAAAATATTTTTTAAATTGAAAATTTAATATTTTATGATATTAATCAATATATTTGAAATTTAATCTTATCTATTTAAAAATATATTTTTTTACTATTTACAATTTAATTGGCTACTAAAATATTTTTAAAATTCAAAAATTAATATTTTTTTATATTAAACAATACTTTTGAAATTAATCTTATCTATCTAAAACTATCTATCTATATGTATTTTCCTTGGTTGAGTCTCAAATCTCTATATATTTTTTCTTTCACAATGGTTATTCTCTGTATGTTTTTTTTTCTTTCACAATAGTTTATTCTTTTTTTTTCCTTTCAATTTAATTTATTAGATCATTATGTGTATTCAATTGCTCATTGAATTTTTTTTTTTTTTTTCATATTTGCAAATAGTTGCTACAACACCCAAAATACTCCAAGGCTAGGTTCATGAATATGATACCAATCAAGTCCATGAAGATGATACCAACCAAGTCCATGATGGTGGAAACCTTTTCCGAGTATTATCCATTGAGTTCGATTTTTTATTAGTGCCATGCGTCATACTATTGTTATTGGTCTTATTAAGATGTTGAGAAGAAAATGAAGTAAAGATAACTCACTGTACTCTAAAGAAGGACGGAAAATAAATTGTGCAATCCATAATTTTCAATAATTATACTTAGATTTTTTTTTACTATTGTAATTTTGTAGATGTTTTTAATGGATATATGATAAATGGCTTTGGATGTCTATTTTGATTTGGTGTTTGCGATTATTTTGATTGTTTTATGATTTACTTTGATAGTTTGTATGAAATTAACTCTCCTTTTGTGACATTTGCACAAGTTTTCAAGCTACAATCTTTTTGGTAAGTAAGCTATATTATGTAGATAAATGTGCTTTAGTTTTTGAAATAAATCTAGTGTTGTTGTTATTTGTACTTGTTGTTTTGTTTGTAATCATTAATTTATAATATTATCTAAAAACATTCACAAAATCTATTAGCATTTTATAAAATAAAAATAATAAATTTTCTTAAAATAAAGATTAATTTGGATTGGCTTATTATTTATTGAATTTATATGTAGATATTATATTATAGATAGATAGTTATTATAATAACTAAAATATTAATCATTTTTTTAGAGCATCATTTATAATTTTATTATTTTTCCCCTTTTTTTTTTTACTTTTTGTTAAAGTTTATAAGCACATAATTAACTTCATAATTGGCTTTTTTAGAAAAAAATTCTTTCAACATGTTACATAGTTTGCTAATATAACATGTTACTAGTCGAAAAAACACACTTTACGTGTGGGTATTTAAATAATTATTTTAATAATTGTTGTAATTCATTATATTATTATTTTTGATAAACTATTGTAAATTATCAAATTATTAAGAAAAACAATGAAACCCTCATTTGAAATAATTGAATAATGGTAAATGCCAAAATGATTTATAATAAAAAAAAAAGTATGACTTTGTTTGCAATTGCATAACATCATAAATCTATTCCTAACTTTCTAAGTATTGTCTCATCAGGTTGGCTATATAACAAGACACAAAAGCAATCTCATAATTATATATTTTACATTAAATTTCAAAAAAAAAATTAATAGTTAACATTTATTTCAACTCGTATGTTGCGAAAAAAAATATCAATTAAATATGTGATCTAATAATTTAAAAATTAAGACAACTTGATTTTAGAGGAAAATTATAAAATACGATGTTCCTTTGCCAATGTAATTATTATATACATATCCAATAATATTAAAACAAAATGAAGGAATTACCTACATCATATTTACTTCTTCAAATCAGCTGTAAGGATTGTCATATCATAATTCACTTCTTCCTTTGCTTTGTCAAATTTTGCCCTTATCACAATCAAGATTTCATGTATAAAACAGCAATTGGATTAGGAAGGTATGCAACACCCTAAGCACAATTCATCATCTGATGTGTTATAATGAAAATGAGCACGTTAATTACCTCCAAGTTATTTAATCCTCGAGGCTTCCAAAATGGAAAAGGTCGTACACCTTTGGAATTCAATTCATGGGAGAAACTTTTGATATTGGTGGAGAAACCTCTTCCTAGGTGCACTTGTAACTCGAAGTATAGCTTGAAAGCGGGGAGACTTCTTTAGGTTTTCACATTCATAGGCCTAGAAAAGGAAACATTTGACAATGTTGAAAGAAAGATATGCAAATCAAAAGAGAAGTGAATTTGTTAAGTTCCTCAATAAAATTCCTACCTTTGATACCACTAGAGTAAAAATATTTGAACTTCTTAAGACTCTAGAACAACTCCATAATGACTCGTGTTTACCTGTCAAAGCAATTCAAGTATCTTATGAGAAAGAAACATAACAAATTCACAAATTATTGAAACATGTAAAAAGTGGATCCTTTGATTAAGCTCTATGTAGGTCCTAACACGAGATGGTTTATCGGAAAGGCAAATATATGCAGTTTCATGCATATGGCATCCATTCACTTTTCACCCTAATTTGTTTAGGTTGGGAAGAGTATGTTCTTTAGTGTGATTATGCACCAACATGAGCTTTCCTCTATTAGAGATTAAGTAATTAATATATCTCAACAAAATGGTCCTATTGAATATCATGTAAGGTATGACAACATCACACTATAGGCATAAGTGTGTACATAAGTGATAGCTTCTATATTTTTATAACACGCAATCAAACTAAGCTATCAAGTATTGACTACAAGATCCTAGAGAGATTAAAAAGCATTATCATCACCAGTCCTAGCTCTAAGAAGAATAACAGAGATAGAAGACCATAAAGGCTCAGGATGAAAAATAATTCATTAATAATAAGCCTAGAGATGATCCTTTTAACAAAACTAACAATATTAATAAACTTTACATGTGTAATCTTTCAAAATTAATTGTTTATTAAGGTATGACAACATCACACTATAGGCATAAGTGTGTACATTTATGATAGCTTCTATATTTTTATAACACGTAATCAAACTAAGTTATCAAGTATCGAATATAAGATCCTAGAGAGATTAAAAAGTATTATCATCGCCAGTCCTAGCTCTACGAAAAAAAACAGAGATAAAAAATATGACGGCTCGGGATGAGAAATAATTCATTAATAATAAGCCTAGAGATGATACTTTTTACAAAACTAACAATATTAATAACATTTATATATGTAATGTTTCACAATTGTTTCTTAGATCATAAGTGGGATAAAGATTAGGATTGGGTGATATTGTGTGTTGTGCTAAATGTTAATAGGCCATTAGTGAAAGGAGAGAAGCTGAAGGCAGGAGCGCATTTGGATTTGGTTAGATCGTTTAAGGAGAAAATAAAGGAATGTGTTGATTACACAATTAAGAGAGGGAGAGTGTTTGTTGATAATGAGGTTGCATTACTAGAGGCTTGGGAGATTTTCAGAGCTCTCGAGAGAGGGAGTGATTGAGAAATAGGATATTGGGTATTTGGTGTAGTTGATCAAAGGGGATGAAGCTAGAAGGAGAGATTATTAAGAGATTATTATGTTGAAATCTGTTGGTTCTGCAGTTGTGGATATGCTTGCTGCGCAATATTTTTATGAGGCTCTCGTTAAGGGTTAAAATACTGAGAAGATAGAAAGATGCATGCATGATGCTAAATAATAAGGTTTTGTATGCAATTAAGGAATTAATGGGAGAGAAGGAAAGAGAAGCAAAGATGCCCTGTTTGGTGATAATTGTAAATCTATAAAAGTAATCAATTGAATGTTAAATATTAAACATAGGCAAAAGAGGAAAAAATTAAATTAATTAAGAATTAGTAGTGACAAAATGATTAATGCTATTTTTGGGAAGGGGAGAAAGGAAAATAAGAAAGGATTGTTACTATTCATTGTCCCTCCTTATTATTTTCCACCTTATCTTTGATTGGGGAGGAAAATAAAATGGAGAAAAGAAAATGTCGTTCTTATAAATTTACTAGTTAATTGATTCTTAAATAATTAATAATTGAAAATAATCTATTTTGGTGTCTCAACGGAAAAGTTTTACAATCAAATGTGTGAACCCCAAAATTATTTTTAA